GGCCTGGCTGGTTACTATAGTTTTTGTAAAATTTTTTATGATTTAGTAGTTTCTGGGGACCAGAATCCAGAATGGTTACAACCTCCACTACCCAGTCGCTGCCACGCTCCAAGATGTTTTCTGGACGCTCAGGCGGAGACTCACGCACAACTGAAGCCCCACAGAACAAGATAAGTGGAACTCTGAGACCTTGGACTCCAGGCTCAATGGACCCTGCTTGCTCCCACCAACCACAGGTGACAAAGGGATTAAAATCAGGAGCCCCACCCTACCCTGCCCTGTCTGCTTCCACCAACTGCCAGAGACCCAGGGATTGGATTGCTCACAGAAAACCCACCCTACCCCTACAGGTACCAGATAAATACCTCACTGGCAGACCTCCACTACCTCCACTACCCAGCCGCCACCACGTTCCAGGACGCTTTCTGGACCGCACAGCCGTGAAGCGTGAAGCAGCCGCACAACACATTATAAGACACTTAATATCCATCTTCCAGAATTGCTGTACCATATTTGATAGGGTTCAAATATGGTTTGAACCATGGGAACACCTACAAGGGCGATTAGAGGTCACTCCAAAAACCTCTATCCTTCTCGGAGAGCCTGGCAAGCTACCAAGAGTATTCTGCCCGCAAGGCAAAACCCCGCAAGCTATCTGTTGTGTATTCAATATGCCAAAACCAGTAATTACAATGGGTCTCATTCCCCTGACCCTGAAGGCATCACCAATATGGCAGTGTTGAGAAGGATGAGGAAGGAGAGGCTGATAAAATCTCAAGGCCGATCTAGGCTTAGGCTGACAAAACGAAGGAAGGTAAAAATGATTGTCTGTACTTTCAATGCACGTAAGCTAGCATCAGATGCATCCATCGAGGACCTGTTGGTAAAAGCATGAAAGATCAAGTATGGCATCATTGGTCTGACAGAGACAAGAAGGCATCATCAGGAATGCTGTCTTGTTTGCTAAGGCGTCAAAAATCAGATGGGCTGGACATGTAATGAGATTTGGAGACGACCGCTGGACTAGAGCCGTTACGGAATGGATTCCACGGGATGTCAAAAGACCGCGTGGCCGCCCACCTACCAGATGGTCAGACTTCTTCACCAAGATCCTTAACGATCGGTTTGAGGCTCTTTGTGTCCCTAGAATGAACAGATGCCATTGGACTACACTAGCACGCGACAGGGACAAATGGAGACGTTACTGGCACCCGCTTGAGCAAATCGGCGATTAATGGGAAGTCAAGTGATCAAGTGATCAAGTTTCTGGGGACCAGAATCCAGAATGGTGGAGCCCCTAGATAGAGTTTTGCCCCGGAGAGATCTCCTAGAAGAATTTCCCCTAAAGGAGGCACTTTATATCTGTTTAAATTTATGTTTAACTGACACTTATATTTATAATTAACTAAACCTTATATTTATATTTGACCAACACCCTCAGGTATGTAAAAGTCTAATCCAACTAAAGAATGTTTTCTGTTCTAATGTTTACTGGTTGTAAGCAATAAATATAGCAAACTGAGGACAGTCAGGGCTCTCTGTTCAAAGGCTGTTAACCCCCTGATCCCACGCTTTTTCTCTCTCATTTCTGTCTCTTTTCTTAATCTTCTCAGTGCCCCTGCTTCAGACTCTCCTACTTCAGACCTGTTAATCTAAGGGCTGGTCCCCTGCAGGTAGCAGTTCTATGATGTTGGAATTGAGATAACAAGTGTTAGTGTTTATGCTTTAGACAATGTGTACCTCAACCACCACCAATATCCCTTCATCAGTGTTCCTGGGTCCCTTCCATCTGTACCACTCCAATCCCCTATCCCAGTTTCCCTTGTCTCCCCTTACCTTCTGATAACCTCTGTTCTATACTAAAGTCTAAAGGTTTTCATTGGACATTGCTTATTGCCTTGTGAGGCCATTAATTCATATTTGTCTTTATTCTTCCATTTCACTTGACAGAACATCTCCTACTCTGTCCATATCGCAAAAAATAATTCATATTTTCTTAGAGCAGCATAGTTTCACTATATACTTACACATATATACACACATATATATAAACATATACATATATACAGTTTTCCATAGAAGCCAATTCAGTCTAAAGTCCGCAGTGCATTGAGGATTCCTTTGCCATCTCTGAGGTAACATAACTTTGAAGAGTTTGAAGTTGTATCTCTAAAACATATTCTTGTAAATCATTATTACCACAATAATAAAATTAGCAAGACCTATTTTTATGCTTCCAGTGAGGGAAGATAAGATGGGAAATATTGACAAGGACTTTACGTTAACTTTCCTGAAGAGAACGAGAAGTGGAAACTAAAACACAAGAGGGATTTGCTTTTGCTGTTCTTGAAGGATAGCAAAGTATATTTATAGTGTTTAATACATGTCAGGCATGGTTCCAAGCACTTTAGATATATTAACTGAATTGGGACTGGATGGAGATGATGGACTTGGTTATGAAGAGTTGCAGGAACATACATCTGAAAATCAAAGTTATTTCTGTGTATCTGAAGGTAAGGGCTGGAGCGATAGCACTGAGGGTAGGGTGTTTGCCTTGCACATGGCCAACCCAGGTTCGATTCCTCCGAGCCTGGCAAGCTACAGAGAGTATCCCACCCACATGGCAGAGCCTGGCAAGCTCCCCGTGACATATTCGATATGCCAAAAACAGTAACAACAATTCTCATAATGGAGATGTTACTGGTGCCCACTGGAGCAAATCAATGAACAACGGGAGGACAGTGCTACAGTGCTATCTGAAGGTAAAATTGTGTACTAGTAATCTGCTTAAAGGAGGCAGAAATGGTGTAATAGGCTTTAAAAAAATGGTAGTTTGATGACTAGAGGAGGAATTTAATCAGGAATATATAAAAATATTTCTGAACTTTAACTCAAGTGATTGTGTCAGTTTATTCAACAGTGTGCAAATACACTTTTGTTGGCACTAAGAGTCAAATATACTGACATGAGTCAAATATACTGACAAATATATAGGCCTAAGGAAGCCTGTAGGCAAAATGGTCAGGGAAATTAAGTGATGCTCAGGTCTGGTTCATTTTTAAAATCTAATCTACGGTTAGATTCATTTTTTTAAGAAATTTAAGCCAGGAGAGGCATCATCATAATTAGAAAAAAAGGAAAAAGAGAAAAGGATTATGAACTTCGAAAGGTTCACTGATGACAATACCTTTTTGAGAATGGACATTGAGGCAGCAGTTAGAAATCTTGGCGGTCAGGGGAAGAGTAGGATTTGTCAGCTTCCTAATCAGAGCATACATCAAATGAGCTTAGATGTAGCAGAATCCTTAGGCAAGATAGAACTTTACTTCCTCTTAAGTGTAGTTCACTGACCAGTGTCATTGACTTCCCCCAGCAGCTTGTTAGAAATGTGAACTCTGTGACCCTTTCCAGAATTACTGCATTTAATAAAACATGCCAAGCTTAAGCAGCACTGGGATAAGACAGTGGGCATTCAATCTTTGGTTTATTTGCACTGGTTCTGATATGGGAGGAGAAACAAAGGGCAGATATCCTGTCTGTGATCCTGTCCAGCACTCAATGTTTTTGCTTTCTATTTATAACTTTAATTCCTTTCTCGTTACTTCTCATTCTCAGCACTAACTCCTCCTAATTCCACACCACAATCTATGTGTGGCTCTCACAGCTGAATATTAGTGTTGGACAAATTATAGCTTTTTTTTTTCGTTTGAAAACTCTTGATTTTTTTCCTAGCACCTGCACTGAAACCAACAGAAAGCCAACTCAAGTGAAACAAAATTCAATCAGTGCCAAACACCCCTCCCCCGCTGTACTCCGGCTGGATCGGCTGTAGTGGTGCCACGCCTTACTCCTTGTATCATTCTTAGCGCCTCCAGGGTTATGAGGTGGCTGTACCTGACTACCAATGATTTTGGGGGAGGAACACCTCTTTCTTCAGCGTAAATGCAAAGCGAAATTCTTCCAATCTTATCGTCGTTTGAGAGTCGGAGCGAAAACTGCCGCCTGGCTTTCTGGTGGAACCAGTTTCACAATAGGCACCCTCTGGTGTTTCGGTTCAGCGGCAACCCGGCCCAGGGGCTTCAAGCGGATCGCGCCAGTACCTGATGGGGGTGGGGGCGTCAACGGGGGTGTGGGGCACGTTAAGTGGAGACACTAAGTATGCTCGGGGGGACCGGGGGCGGGGGGGGGGGGGGAAATCCGGGCATTCCTCAGCCAAGACGAGAATCGTGCGAACCTGTTGGTAGGGGCGTAAATTAAAGCCCGAGTTTGGAAGGTCTGTTCCCAGGGAGGTCCGAAAAGTAGCTCGTTCCCGGCTCGGGATGCCGTTCGTTCCCGGCTTCGGCGTAGGCGCCCGCCGGGAGAGGCGAGGCGTCAGTGTGCTCGCTAAACGCCGGGGGGGAAATCAAAGTTGTGGAGTACCGCGAGGCGTTTGCAAACTGAACTGGAAGGAGTCCGCAGGGTAAGAGGAGGAGTTTGGCCCGTGACTGCCGACGGCCACGGCCAGCCTCCTCACCGCCCTGGCGGTCGCCTCTCTCTCACCAGGTGCAGCCTCCCCCCTCACCTTCCCTGGTCGTTGGCGCCTCCAGGGCAGGGTGCGCAGCCCATCACCATTCCCGCCCCTTATGGCCCCTCCACCCACCCACCCAGGCGTCTTCTGTCCCCGGGCCATCCCTCCACTCCTTCTCGGCCGCCGGCCGCGCTCGCCCAGCTTCCTCCCCGCTTTCCCTCTCTTTCCCACCCGGCGGAGATTCGCGCTCCCGCAGCAGACCCCACCTCCTTTCTCCCCCCGCCGCCGCCGCCGCTCGGCGGGAGGCGCGAGGGCCGCCTCGGCGCAGGCGCACTGTGCGGCGGGCGCACAGGCCGGCCGGGCATCCGCGCAGGCGCGCGCTCCGGCTGGGCTCGGGCTGGGCTCGGGCTGGGGCTGCCAGACGTTCCTCGGCTCGCTGGGCTGAGGGCTCCGGGGCCCCGCGAAGGCGGCGGCGGCGGCGGCGGAGGCGGCGGCGGCAGCGGCGGCGCTGGCACCATGTTTCTTCTCCACACCGTCAACCTTTGGAACCTGGCATTTTATGTATTCATGGTTTTCCTGGCAACCCTAGGGTTGTGGGACGTCTTTTTCGGCTTCGAGGAGAACAAGTGCAGTATGAGCTACATGTTTGAGTACCCCGAGTATCAGGTGAGGTTTCGCCCTCGCCTCACCCGGGCGCTCCTGAGCCGCGGGCCCCTACCACCTGGGTTTTCTCTGCGTTCCCTTTACCTTGATCCCCCGCGCCTCTCTAGTGTCCCCATCTCCCCGTCTCGTTTTTTCTCTCCACCCCCCTCAACCCCGCACCCCTTTGCGTCCCCGAAGACTCCGCAGACCCCCTCACCGACCCTTTGTGTCTTGTGCTCTTGGTCGGGTGTATGACAGATGGTCACGGAGCATCCTCTCGGCTCCCTGCCGCGTAGTTGCTGCCCGCTTCCTCCTCTCGCTGCCGGGTCCCAGGTCCTAGCTAGCACCAGCTCTGCCGAATATCCAGGCCCAGCCCGCCTCTTCCCCGGGAGACCTCGCCTGAGCGTCCAAAGCCCGTCCCCTTCGCGGTGCCCGCTTTAACAGGTGTCCCCGGACCCTCCTCCACTTCCCACGCGCCGGGATTTACCCCCCGCTATCCCGCGGTGGTGTTTCGAGACAGGCGCCGACAGCGTGTTGGGTTACATTAGTTCTTAAGAATGTATTCAGAGACTCTAGTTTTTTTTTACTTAGTCCCGCGAGGAAGGCTGAGTAGTTGCTAAGTTTAATCGAAAGGGGGGAAAAAAAAAAACAACCCACGGAGGTTTCTTACTAGCCAGATTTTGCTGATGCACTTGTAGGTTTTTGAGTCCGTGTATGTATGTGCATGGCTGCATTCATGCACGCCGCCTCTTTCCAGTTGCATAGAACATCTAAGGTCCAAGTGTTGTTGTTTTCTCAGGGATTGCATTTTAGGAGAGCTGTCCTCTCCTTGTTTCTCTCTCTCTCAATCCCTCCCACTCACTCTCTCTCTTCCCTCCCCCCAATGCCTTCCAATACTTTTAAAAATTATTTTCACAGTTACTTCATCAGTTTAAGGCTAGTAAAGTCTCAAATTTCATTCATAACCAGCTGTAAAAAAAAAAAACAATAAAAGGTGGTGGCATATCATACAAGTGGCCAGAGGAAATTTCCGGAATGATTATTTCTAAATGCGTCATCTAATTATGGAATACATATTATAACAACGCCATACAATAAAAGTGTGGGGAGTATAATATATACCGATAAAAGGTAATTTTATGTACCGTACTTTTAAAATCGTAGCAGATTGTTTTCCTTTACACTGAAGGATGTAGATGTGATTGCTCCTGTGTACAGGTCACTATGGAGGAGCGGATTATTTTATTATGTTGCTATTATTTAGGCTTTAAAACAAATTTTAAGCAGTTACTTGGGGTTTAAATTGCTGAAGAGTGTTCTTTCCCAAGGGCAAAATATTTGTTAAGATTTTATTGTTTTGAATTTCTTTCCTTGGTTTGGCATTAATGCTTATAAGGGATTCGAAACATCTGATATCAGTTGCTACTCCAAAAAGATTGTAGCATGCTGCTATAGTCTCCAAGTTTCTAAGGGAATATGCTGTTATATATGCAAAGGCATTTAGTTTATTTTTCTAACTGAAAATAAAGCTTCTGTTGTGTCTTTTGATTTAGGAAATTCTTGATAAATTAAAGAATAAGCTGAAGACATATGTTTTGGAATAGTACAGTGAAATTCCCATTTATTTGTAAATTTGTCACAATTTTTGAAACTTTAACGTTTTCCTAGTGGTAGAAATTGCCTAATGTTGGGACCAAAGCATATGGATCTAACAGATAGATGCATTTTTGTGCCTTATATAATTGACTTGAAAGAAACAAAATTAGGGTTGCTACTGTAGAAGAGCTATTTGGTATTTTTGTTGTTAGTAGTTTGTGTTATTTTGGTTCAAGTTGCTTTTCTGAGGTTTTACACTTGTTAGTAGTAATTACAGTGGTAGAAGTTTCTTGCTCACATTTTTAGTAGATTTTCATTTCAATGATGTAAATGCTGTGCTAATTCACTACAATAGTTATATTTAACTAAGCCCATTTATTTTATATGTCAGGTGCCATTATTTTGTGGATAATCAAGGCAATTCCGTTAAGAATCATTAATTTTTTTTTATAAATGGGAATGGCATAGTACTACACTCATAGTACTACATCAGCAGTGCTTATGAGGGGATGTGGTGTCAGGGGTCAAATCTAAATCCTGTACATATCAGCTCTGTGCTCCAGCCCTTTGAACTATCTCTTTTCCCTGAACCAATGGTTTTGGTGAATAAAAGTGTTCTGAATGTATGTTACTTTATTTCATTTTAGAGTATCACAAAGCTATTCAAGATTGGCTTTCAGCAATACAATGTTCCAGCACTCATCCCTCCACCAGTGTGCATTTCCCATCTCCAGTGTTCCCAGTTTCCCTCCCACCCCACTCCCCAAATCCCTGTCTGCCTTTGTGGCAGGCACCATTCTCTCTCTCTCTCCCTCTCTCTCTCTCCCCTCTCTCTTTCTCTTTCTCCTTCTCCCCCACTCCCCCTCCGTACCCCCCCCCCCCCCCCCACACACACACACCCTCCCTCTTCTTGTGCATTATGGTTTGCAGTTGGATGGTGGCTTGGATTGTGGACATGACTGCCAGGGCTTCTGGAAGTACAGGGAGATGGAGGGGGTAGTATGTCCTGACACCTCCACCCCCACCCCCACCCCACCCCGCCTCAAGAGAGCCTGGAGTTCTCAGTCACAAAACCTGCATACCTGAATTTTTAGCAGATTAATATCTTGGTGAAGTCCATCCTGGTACAGTGGAATCCAGCCAGAGGCATGGCAGTGAATTTGGATTGTGGGAGCAAGTGGCTGCTGGAAGTTCTGCTTGGGTGGGCACTGGTGAACCCACCCCATTCCGGTGTTCCCTGTCTTTACATCCCTGCATAGGTCTCAGATTCTGCGGTTTCAGATCTCTTTCAAGATTTATATTCATATATAAATGAAGCCAGGCTGATACATGAGCTTATATGGCTGAACCAGAGGTGGTTTGTGGGTGTAGCTCCCACATACCTAACTTTTGGCCATTCAATTTCTCAGGAAACTTGGTCCTAAGTTGGTGGGAGTCTGGTCAGAGGCACAGTGGCAATTTTGGGGTTTCAGGAATCCTGAAGGCACCATCAGGCTGCTGATGCACTTGCCCCGCCAGTTGAAGTTGACCTGCCAGCAGTGCCATGCCCCCTGGGCCCTGGTGGTGACTGGGTTCAGGCCTTATACAGTACACAACTTGGACATTCCAGGCGGGCTGTAGCCACCAATTCAGTAGGACCTGACCAGCACACATCCTTATCTTCAGTCTCCAGACAGTTGGCCCACAGGAAGGATTGCCTTCCATATATTGGGGGTGGTGCAGGCTGCTCCTGGAGGAAATGGCTGCAGGGCCACCTTGCCTGTGGTGAATTGCTGGGGCCCTATGTCGGGACCCAGAGTGCCTTCTCAACTCTGGGATCTCAACACTTGTGCTCTGCAGTGGACCAGCGCTCCACGGTGGACTGGTTTCATTTAATGGCGCTCTCCCTGAGCCAGAGATTCAGGGGGACCCATGTTCACTCACACAGAAATTCTGTGGTCCCATTGGCTTTTCAGAGCGCTGAGAGCTTCCATCCCTCAGCGCTTAACTGCTGTGCCACCATCATCTGGAAGCTTCTCCAGAGGCGAGGATTCAAAAAATAAAGTCCTTCTCTGTGGCTCCCTCTAAATTTATTTTTATGTTGTTCACTTTTAATTATAGTTACTCTCAGTTTGTTGACAGTTTGTTAACTACAGGAAGTCCTAGTGCTTTATTTTTTCCTCTTGATGCCATTTTTCTTTTTTTTTTTTACTTTTTATTCACATATACTTTAGCCAGCCAACAGAGGGAAGTGGAAGGAGGTTGAAATGCACTCAATTTTATTCTATCATTTTCTTTTATCCTGGGGGCCTTTCAAACAATGTTCAGAGGTCCTGGGGTCATTTCTGGCACTACTATACCATTGGGCAGAATGATTGAATGCTAGGACCTGGCAGTGCAGTGTTGTTCATTAAGTTTACAGTGTCTCAGGACATTTTCATGGGAATTTGACATAGATTGTTTATGGTGATGTCCTCAGAGGAATATCCAGGAATGAACATGAGTGATCAGAATTTTGTTTTTAGGACACTGAGGTTTTTCAGTGTTACTTTATTTTTACAGTTTTATTTTTCAGTATTAAAATATTTTAATAAGTTTCAGGTGCAGCTTCACACTTTAGCATCTGTATATGCAAAACCATATTCTTCACCACGGGCCTAATTATCACCCACAGCCCTCAGTAGACCACTTCTACCTATTTCATCCACCTCATCCTCTAGTCAAAATTTAAGGATTTTTCTGGGTGTATGTGTCTATTTGCTTTGCTTTATTTCTCAATTTTCCCTGAGTAGAATCACATTAACATAAGATTGGTACTTGTCATTCTCCCCCTGACTTATTTCATTCACATATTTTCTTCAAGATTCAGTCCATTGAATAGCAAGATTTCATACTTTTATTTTTTATTGCTCATGAACATTCCATTGTGCATATATATCACTTCTTTATCCACTTAGCCATCATTGGACACCATATGTTGACTATTTTGACTAGTACTATAGTGAAGAAAGGGATCCATAAATCTTTTAAAATTGATGTTTTGGTGTTTTTAGGGTAACTACCTAGAAGTGGAAGTATTGGATAATATGTAGTTTTGTTTCCAGTTCTTTGGTAAAACGCCATACAATTTTTTTTTTATAGTGACTGTATCAGTTTACATTTTTCCCAATTATAACACTGCTGGATCATTAAATTTATCAATAAATTCTTTAATTCTACCTTTCATTGTAACTGGTTTCATTTATGATTTCTATCCTTTAAAAATAAGACCAAAAAGAGAATATTCTAAAGATAACATTTAAGAGCTAATTTATATATTTTTGAAATTAGTTTTAATGTTAATGGGTTAAATTGGTTCATTTTGTATATATACTTATATGAGTTGCAAAGTACTTTAAAACTTGCTGACAAATCAGTACCTGATTCATGAAAACAGAAACATTCATTTATTAGAACATCTATGGTGAAAAGATAGTGTACATGTCTTAACCAAGATAGGCATTAAAGGTTCAAATTTATTTGCTTAGCACATTCTGTGTCAAAACATATTATACTGAGAAACCAGAAATCTGTATTATAAAACAACATTTTTAAAAAAGATTTTATTATTGAATCACTGAGGTAGATTTTTACAAAGCTGTGCATATAATTAGGTTTCAGTCGTATAGTGTTCCAACACCCTATAAACAAATTTTCTCCTGAAAGATGGCTGCGTGCAAGGCAAACGCCCTACCGCTGTGCTATAGAAATTTATAGTTGGATCTAAGTAATAGAGACACATTATAAAACATCTTAAATTGGCAAAATTTTTTAAAAATTGGGGATAACTTGGCAATAGCTCAACTGGGGGCACTTGAAAAGTATATTCCAGGACCTGAGTTTGAACCCTTGTACCTTAGGGATCCTGTGTACTGCTGGGTGTGGGGCTGGTGGTCCCTGGCACTGCCAGGGTACTCTGCTAGTTGCTACATCCTTAGGTTCTACATTTAATCATCTGGCCAAGTTGGTCAGCTATTGCTAAGAGTGAACACTCCTTGGAAAATTCCCCTGAAAAGGGGGGGAAAGCAGAAAAATAGCAAAAGAGGAATTTATTTGCTAATATAAAGATCTTGTCATTTCTAAGTATAGTTGTTACTAATTCCAAATTAATGAGTTTTCCAATTGTTTTTACCTGTAATTTGTCATATACCATTGTCTTTCAACCATTAGCAATGACTGTTTTGAATAAATTATAGCCATAAAAAGTCCAGGTAGTTTCATTTTATGTTTTCATCAATACTGTGCAGTTCAAAACTCACGTAGAACTCACCTAGTTTAAGACTAATTCTTCAAGTAACTAAATAAACTAAAAAATGCAGCTTGTTTTGTGCTTAACTAAGCTTTAATTTCTGTAATATTGTATATCACACAATTGAAAATTTAATAATTTAGAACTAGGTACAGTGAGACTTGTATCAATAAAACTTCCTAAAGTAAAATTGCCTTTTTTTCTGCTGTAGAAAATAGAACTTCCCAAGAAACTGGCAAAACGCTATCCTGCATATGAATTATATCTTTATGGAGAAGGATCCTATGCTGAAGAACATAAAACTCTCCCCTTGACAGGTATTCCAGTTATCTTTCTTCCTGGTAATGCTGGAAGTTATAAGCAAGGTAAGTCTCAGAATTAAAATTTGAAAGCTATAAATTGACAATGATTCTTCAGATACCTACTCTGTTTAATTATTATGTTAGACATACTGGAAGACACAAATTACATGTGACATTTTATCTGAGAGGAAGTACTTGTGATCACTTTCCAAGGAGTGAAAAGGAAAAAATGAGTAAGATAGAGTGGCGGTGCAAGTAGATAATATAGGGATTGAGAAATCAACCAAAGAAAGAAATTTATGTTAGAAATGGAGATTAAGGACTAGAAACTAGCATTGATTAGAGAAGGAAATCAGTGATTTATAGCACTCTGAAAAAGAGAGAAGATTGGTTTCTTTCATTTGAAGCTATTTAAGTTAGAGAGGCCTAGAAGTACTTATGAGAATGTAGAAATGTAAGGGTAGGGAAATTATGTGTATGATTTAAAATTGGTTGTTGACTTGGAAATAAAATAATTTTTGGCATAACCACCAAGTAATTTGGGATTAATTTAAAGTAAAATCTGCTTTTAAAATTATTAAATGGTATATCCTTTTATATAATAGATTAAAATTATGTTATCACTAATTATGTATTTACCTATTTAACATTTATTAATAGGGTACCTGCCATGAACTAGACAGGGATTCTAATTAGTAGATACTCAAACTAAGACCAATAAAATCTCTTCCTTCATTGTATGTGTATTCTTGTTAAGAAGCCTACCACCTAACACATATGACAGTTAGGTTACAAGACAGAAAGAAAACATACACCAGGGTAAGAGAATAAGTAGGTAAGAAGGAGGCTATTTTTAATGAAGTGACCATGAAAGGGCACTGTGACGTTTGAGAAGGCTTGATTATAGCAAGAGACTAGGTGTGTGGCTCTTTGGGAGACATTCTTTAGCAGGAATGTTCTTAGTGTATCTAAAGCCACTGAAAACTAGAGAAAGTGGAGATACATGCGAATGGAAAAAGTAATTACAGGCTATATTATGTAAGTTGTGGAAAAGACTTTGAATTCTGATTTAGGTTTAATGGAAACCTGTTGGAGGATTTCATGTGGGAAATGAGATAATCTCACAGTTGGTTATTTGAAGCTTGGCATAGAGAAATGCATTGAATATATGTTTGGTTAATTTTGGGGGAGGCTATTCCCAGTGTGGTTCTGATAGGTTAGCGCTTGAGGATGCTATGGGATTAAGCCCAGAACTCCTGCATGTACCTCAACCCTTGAACCGTCTTCCCTATCCTATAAAATAATATCCACATAACAAAAACCTCAGTCAAAAAGTACAAGATTAACAGCACTGCAAAAAACACCCTGTGTTGTTTGTTTTCCTGATTAAAACTTGTTTACCTCTTTTCAGATAAAACTAAATCCTGATTATTGAGGTAGTAATTTCCTTGACTTTCTTTATATTTTCAGTTTCTAAGTATGCATCCAATAAAGACCATTTGCTTGGTACTAGTTTTAAACTTTGAAATATAACTCTAATCATTTTCTGGCTGCTTCCAACTCATTTTAAAAATTTGTCCAAATTATTTTTCTGAGCTCTAATTTTCTTCACTTTCTCCACTTTCTTCTCTCTATATTATTCTCTTGTATAGCTATACCTTTAGTTCAGCCATTCTTTTTTTTAGGTCTTTGTGTTATTTGCATTTATGAAATTACAAATTTTGAACATTCTCTTGGGCCAAGTAAACCTATATTTCTGTAAAATATATGTCATCGGAGTATAATTGCATACCATAGGTTATGTATTTTCTTTTATTTGTGTTGTTTGTACTCCCAGAAACAGTAAACTATGCTTTCCTTTAGTCTGCATTATTGAAAGTTGAATTATTACCTAAAAATTTGTAAATCTGGTAGGAGTGATCTATTACATAACAAATGATCTCTCTGACTTTGCTGTATAAAAAAACTTAAGAGGGATAAGAGTAGAAGTATAAAAGATACTCAACATAATTAATTATTAGGGAAAGGCAATTAAAACCCACAGTGAGATACCATTTTATTCTTATCAATGTAACTGTAATCTGAAAGACAGATAATTACACGTGTTATTGAGGATATGGAGCGATTGAAACTATCATATATTACTGGCAGAAATGAAAAACGGTATAGCCACTTTGAAAAAACAGTTTTGATAGTTCTTCAGAATAATTAATGTTATTAATTATTAACCCAACAGTTTTAAACTTGGATACATACCCAAGGAAAAAAAAAGTTAAACACCCACCAAACACTTGTACACAAGTGTTTTTAGCAATAGTAATCTTTATGTCAAACAATCCAAATGTCCAGGTGCTAATGAATGAATTAATGAACTGTCTTATCTGTATGTTGGAGTATTATTCAGCAGGTATTTTTTGTTATATGAATTATATGCTATAGTGAGAAACCACAGAAATATTGTTAGTGAAAATATATTCATAAAAAACACATAATGTTCCATTTATAGAAATATACAGCATAAGTAAATCAATAGAGACATAAGTCTTAAGGAAATTAGGACAAAAGGAAAGATGAGTAACTGATAGTAAGTATAGAGTTTTCTTTCTGTGGTATGTCTAAAAATGTCTGAAATTATGGTGCACAAATGACTTATAACTAAATGAAATCATTTCATTGTACAATTTACATGCTGAGTTAAAAATTATCTATATTTTATGTATTAGATTAGAATACCAGACAAAGGTACAAGTACTATAATTTTTAATGCCGATTAATATAATCAGTTTATAATAAAATCCTGTTTACCTGTTTGTTTTGCCAAACAGTAGAAGTAGAAATACCAGTTACAGAACTATTTTACTCACTGTCACTGTCACTGTCACTGTCCTCCCATTGTTCATCGATTTACTCAATTAACAAAAAGCATTTAGGAAGAGAGCTGTCTCTGTGCCACCACTTCTCCAGGTAGCCCTTACAACCCACCACCCACCCCCCAGCCATGGAGTGAGCCAATGGAGAGCCACCAGTGTACCACAAGCACACTATAGGTGGCCCCAGGGATTCCCCCATCAGGTCCCAACCCTAGAAAGAGGTGTCAGAGAGTGAAGAGCCACCAGTGGGCAAACACTACAGGTGTCATTAGTCAGAGGGGGGATAGCCTGCATCCTTAACCCAGGGTAGAGAATCAGACTGCTAAATGACTGCTGAGCCATAGATTATAAGGCCACCTCCTTAACTTAACATCGGACCATCCTACACAAGTTCTGTCCGAAGTGCAACCATTAAATATTTGGCCAGAGATCAGGATCTCTCAGGTTTTCCAGCAAAGAACAGTGAATAAATCCCAGATCAGGTAGTACCTTACCAGTCAAGGGTAGTCTGAAGCAAGTACCTTAGTTGATACCAAATCTGTTCAGAGGTATACAATGTGTCTGGGCACTCTTGTGCACTACTAAGCAATTGGACCCAGACTGATGGGTTACACCTATGTTGTTGTCAACAAGTGTGAATCCTTGGAGGCTGCCCATGCTATTCTTGCCTATATCATCTCAGCTTATCCTACTGTGTTTATATGGTCCCAGCTTATCCCATAAACTTGAGGCAGCAAATTTCCAGCAGCTACAGGAACTAAACACTACCATCTGGACTCTCACCACTACCATGCGCATGATGCCAGATATAATGAAGGAGCAGATGAATTCATTCATGCAACTGGATGATGAAGAATACTTGAAAGGACCCTAAACATCTTAGACCTCTCTAATTTCTTTTAAGAGGAATTCAAAGAAAGAATGATTAGACTATTCACTGAATTGAAGAAAACAATACAGGAAAGTTCCAACAAGGAAAGAGAAAGTGTGAGAAAATGTCCATTCCATCATAAATCACTGAATTGTGAGTATAGGAGAATTGAAAAATACAATAGAGGAAACAAGCAGCAGAATGATAGAAAAAGGAATAAATCAGTATGCTTAAAGACAGATGGATGAAAAAAAAAGACGGATGAAATGATCCAAAAAGAATAATAGAAGGAAAAGAGAGGAATTTAAGAAAACATCAGAGCTATTGAATGGTATGAAGACACACAAAGTATCTGAATTATAGGGGTCCCAGAAGGAGAGGAAAGAAATTTCAGGAAAAGTTTTGTTGAGAAAAATTATAGCTGAAAACTTCACTAATCTGAGACTTGATGTAGACACCCAGATCCAGAAAGCGAAGAGAGTTCCAAAAAGAAAAGACCCAAGCATAAAAATATGATGGCATGTTGTAATTTAAATGGCAAGGGCCAAAAATAGAGATGTATTCCTAAGACCATCAACAACAAAGCCAAAAATTACCTATAAGGGAGCCCCCATAAAAGTTACAGTAGATATTTCAAATATCTCTTATAGGTTAGAAGAGAATGGTATGATATATTTAATACGGCAAATTAACATATAAATAATAATACTTTATCCAGTTAAGTTATAATCAAGATGTGATGGTACAACAAAAACTTCACTGGCAACAGCAAAAGGAGTTCTTGGCCACTAAAATAGCACTGCGAGCTGCATTCAATGGTCTCATATAAAAGGCAAAAAAACACAAAGACTACAGGAACATTCAGAGACCATACAAAAATATAGCACTGGATACCTCAGTTGAATAATTATGTTTAATGTCAGTGGTCTGAACTTACTGTTTAAAAGACAGGATGAAGAAAACTGAGAAAAACTGAAAGAAAAACTGAGCCCAACCTTCTGTTGCTTGGAAGATAGCTGAACTAGATTAAAAACAGGCACAAGAATAAAAGGCTGAAAAATAATCATACCAGCAACAAATAGGCATGGATAACCATACTTTTTTCATGCAGTGTGGACTTGAATCTAAGTAATAATAAAATACAGAGATGGACATTATGTGATGGTCAAAGGATCTATGTATATGTCAAAAGCATGTGACTCTCTATAGCCTATGCAGCAAACGATCATCAAAATATGTAAACATGGAAAGTATCATGTTAAGCAAAATGATTCAGAAAGAAAGGGATAGACATAGAAAGATTGCATTCATCTGGGGAACATAAAGTAATAAAATAGGAGACTAACACCCAAGAGTGGCCGAGATTAGTACCAGGAATTTTACTCCATGGCTTGGAGGTCAGCCACACATGCTAGGGGAAAATGGAGCTCAGATAGAAAAAAGAACACCATATAAATGGTGTTGGGAGGATCCTCCCAGGATGGGAGAAGCATGCTGAAAGTAGACTATAGACCAAACATGATTGTCACCCATTGCCTCTTTTGCAAACCACAACACCCAATAGGAGAGAGAGAACAAAAGTGAATGCCCTGCCACAGAGGCAGAGTGGGATGGGGGGTGGGAGGGATCCTGGGATCCGTGGTAGTGGGAAATGGGCACTGGTGGAGGGATGGGTATTTGATCATTGTATAATTGAAACCCAAGCACAAAAATTTGTAAGTCTACAACTGTACCTCATGGTGTCTCACTAATAAAAAATTTAAAAAAAAATACGTAAACAGCTACTAGTGGGTCTGAAGGAAAATATTGACAGCATCATAATTGTAATAGAAGATTTTAAAACCATACTTTCTTCATTGAATAGACTAGCCAGACAGAGACTCAATGTGGGAACTGAAGCCTTAAAGAAAGAAATAGAAGTGATAGGTTCAATAGACATTTATTAAATATTTATAGGACTCTCCACCTCCCAAAAGCTGATTGCACATTTTTCTATTTTTCATGTGTCAGTCTCTGGGATAGACCACATACTGGGACACAATAAAAATCTTCATAAAATCAAGAGAATGGAAATATTTCTCATATCATATTGCTGTGAAAATGAAAATACTGATGATGTTGACCTTGAAAATGAAAATGCTGAAGATGTTGACCTTGCATGTGGCATACTTGGTGTTCCTTGGCATCATATATGATCCCCTGAACACTGCCAGGAGTGATCCCTGAGTCCAGAGTCAGGAGTAAGCTCTGAGTAAGCTCTGAGTACCAACCCTTCCCTCAAAAAGAGAATTCAAGAAAAATCAAGTACTTGTAAAATTTATATGGAATCACAAGCTCCCAGAATACCTAAAGCCATTCTAAGAGAAAAGATGAGGTATTGCATTCTCAGACTATATTGCAAAGCCTTACTAATCAAAACTCTGTTGAACTAGAACGGATATAGACACTCAGGTTAGTGGAATAGAATTGAGAACCCAGAGATAAGGGCACTTAACGTGCTAAGAGGCAAGCTGCATGAAATAGAGCAAGGAGAGCCTATTCAACAAAGGTAGGTAAAGGTAAAGGCCCTCCCGTTGATCATCGATTTGCTCGAGCGGGCCCAGTAACGTCTCCATTGGAGACTTTGTTGTTACTGTGTTTGGCATATCGAATACGTCACGGGGAGCTTGCCAGGCTCTGCCGTGCGGGCGAGATACTCTCGGTAGCTTGCCGGGCTCTCCGAGAGGGGTGGAGGAATCGAACTCGGGTCGACCATGTTGGCTGCATGCAAGGCAAACGCCCAACCGCTGTGCTATCTGGAAAAACTGGGTAGTCACATACAGATAATTGAAATTAGGTCCTTATTTTACACCAAAAGCTAATTAAAAATGGATTAAAGGGCTTTGATATTAAACCTGTTTCTATAAAATATGCTGCTAAAAACAGGAATTTTGGTGAGATTGACCTCAGATGAGTCTTTAATGATAGGATCCCATTAGCTAAAAAAAGAAAATAAAATAAAGGCAGAAATGAGCATAAAGGTGTATATAAAGCTAAACATTTGAACTACAAAAAAAAATTTGAGACTAAAGCCAAAAGACAACCTATTTATTGAGAGAAAATACTGGCACATCATGTTTCAGAAAAAGGGCTAATACGGCACATGGTGTTCCTTTTACCTCTTGTCTTCTTGCTTTTGGATTGGGGCAGTCACTATACTACAAAGGAGTCCCTCTGAACACTAACAGGAGTGCGGGGGGCGGGGGGTGTGTGGGAGAGGGTGGTTCTGGGTGGGTGGTTCTGGGCCTCTGTCTGTGGCTTGGGTGAAGGGCAAGTTCTTGTCATGCCAGAGATGGGTCAATGATCAGTGATTTTTTTAATCTAAGCATTAAAAGTTTCCAAATTAAAAAGGAAAAGGGGAAAAAAAGAAAAAAGGCTGATATCCATGATATTTTAAAGTCTCTTAAAACTCAACAACAACAACAAAAAACTTCTTCAAAATGGGAAGGGGAGATGAGCCGACACCGTCTCAAAGATGTCATAAAGGTGGCCAATAGACATATGGAAAAGTGCTCATCATCACTGATTTAGAAAACTCTCATTCAGTGTTTGTGAAACTCTTGCCTGGTTTAGCCTCTTCGGGAAATTCTTTGGAGGCTTCTCAAAAAATGAAGTCTAGAATTCCATATCATTCTGCAATTCCCACTTCTGGGCATCTATCTAAAGTACACAAAAAAACTTAAAATCAGAAAGAAAATACAGTTTTTCACTGCCATGTTATTTATGGCAGTCAAGATCTGCAAACAACCCAAGTCCCCAACTGTAATATGTGTGTATATGTATATATGTATGTATATATGTGTGTGTAGTGAAATAATACATATGTAATGGAATGCTACTCTGCCATGAGAAAAGATGGAATCTTATAGTTACATGCAACTTGGATGGAAATGGAGGACGAAATACTAAGTGAAGTGAGTTCAGAAAGAAAAAGTCAAGTACCTGATGATTGTCTCTCATATCCAGAATTAAATTAAACAAGGGATTAGCAACTACTGTTGGTAATAAACCCTGAGATAGGGTCAGCCGAACTATGATCAGAGTGCTGGGAAATGTGGGGGGAAGGGAAGTGACCTTACATAATAGTGGAGGGATCTGCAAACTCTGGAAGTGGGTTATGGTGTAGAGCACACAAAAAATAAAACAGTAATATTAGTACTATTGTAAAGAAAAAAAAGAAGTAGAGTCAGAGAGATAGTACAGCAGGTAACGTACTTATACAAAGCTAACCTGGGTTCAATTCCCAGCACTCCACATGGTCCACCAACTCTTCCACAAGTGATTCCTGAGCACAGAGACAGTATTCTTTTTAAGAGACCATGAAATAGAATGGATGAAATGAAAAAAAATGTTTTATGTGTACTTTGCCCTTTTACTCTACAGTTCGTTCTGTTGGCTCCATTGCACTTAGAAAGGCAGAAGACATTGACTTCAAGTACCACTTTGATTTCTTTACTGTGAATTTCAATGAAGAACTGGTGGCGCTGTATGGTGGAAGTCTTCAGAAGCAGACCAAATTTGTGCATGAATGCATTAAAACAATCCTCAAACTCTATAAGGTAAGAAATTTGTGTTAATCAACAAGGAGAAAACCTATTTAAAGGACTCAACAATTTTTTATGAATATATATTTTTATTATTGATGCAACATTGTTTTGCAATAATATGGAATTTCAGAGATTTAGCTAATTTGTTTAAAACCACTCTCACCACTAAAATTACAGAGCTTTCCAATCACCATGCAGATTCTTCTCTTCATTCCTATTATTAGCTGTTCCTCCCATCCTCTTGTAACTACCATAGTTTTCACTAAGGACTCAACTTTTTTTAAAAATTTTTTTGCTTTTTGGGTCACACCTGGTGATGCACAGGAGTTACACCTGGTTCATGCACTCAGGAATTACTCTTGGCGGTGCTTGGACCCTATGGGATGCTGGGAATCGAACCTAGGTCGGCTGTGTGCAAGGCAAACGCCCTACCCCCTGTGCTATTGCTCCAGCCCCAAGGACTCAACTTTTTAAAATCAGTTACTCAACGTTTTAAAATCAACTGAAGGCAGTAGGATACTGTTTTTTTTTTTTAAATTGAATCACCATGAGATAGAGTTACAGAGATGATACTTTTTTAATGTGGGAATTCTGTGGACTTGAATTCATTTTGTTTTTTTTTTTTCATTTGTTATTTTGTTTTGCTGAGAATGAACGCAGGACTTCATGTATGCCAGCCATGGTCTCTATCACTGAGCCTCATCCCTTAAAAAGTCAGTGGTGACTTTTTAAGTTAACATTGAATTTATTAGAAAGCTTTCTTCTGTTGAATATAAGGAAAACATTTTTTTTTTCATATGTGAGTTAGGAGTACAGTGTATATCCTAAAAATCACTAGTATAAATTTCTGTTTCTGTTTATATGTTAGTGGTAGACCATCTCCATATGAAAAGCAGTTACAAACTTAGTTAAACACTTGTTGGGCAACCCTTCAATGATCACTAATAGAAGTAAAATATATTCAAATGAGCTTAATGATTGACAGGCTTTCTGCCTAGAAGCATTTTTTTTTAGATCATAGGCAGTAAGGGAGATCAAGAAGAGCACATTGATATCATGGATCTCAGCAAGGCAGAAATTTAAATATTGGGCTACCAAAGTGCACATATTTGTGAGCAGGGTATGAGAAAGAGAAGATATTCACATGATCAGGTGATCACAAATAATCTTTTTTGAAATATTTAACTACAATGGGAAGGACTAACTTTACCTTGGAGAAAAACAATAGACATCATTCTGACCAAAGCTAATGTCATGAATAACATATTGGCACCATGAAACCCCTCAGTATGATGTATTGAAAGGATGAAACTTAAGTTCTGTGACATTATTGTCAAAAATGTACAACTTTATTCTCATTATGAGAAAATTTCAAACAAATCAAAATTTAAACTTACTACAAGATAGCTTATATTCTTCAACGTATCAAGGTTGGATTCATAGGGAAAGTACTGGGGTTAAGGTACTTCCCTTGCACACAGCTAATTCTAATTTGATCCCTGGCTCTGCATGTGGTGCCCTGAACACAATGGTATGTTCCCTGAACACACAGCCAGGAGTAAGCCCTGAATACCATTAGATGTTGTTCCCAAAATAAAACAAATGATTGTTGTCTTGAAAATCAAAGATGTAAAGAACTGTCACTACAGATCAGAGGAGGAGATTAAGAAGAAATAACAAGTTTTCAAGGTGGAATGCTTGATTGGATGAAATACTGAATTAGAAAAAGTGAATTAGTGGGAGAATTTGTTAAATTTATATTAGGTTTGTAGCTTAATCATTTTTTATTAAATAACACGTTATTGCCCATGTTATTCTTGATTTTGATCATTGTAGTATGGTTTTACAAAAAATATCAAGGATAGTTTAGTGATAAGTGTATGGGACCTCTCAGTACTGTTTTTACTTTTTTCTGGTTGACAAAAGAAATAAGAAAGGTTGAAATTTGAGAGATAGTACACCAGGTAGGTAGGGTGTACTTGCACACATCTAACCTGGGTTCAGTCTCCAGCATCCTATATGTCCCCTGAGGACCACTAAGAGTGATTTCTGAGCACAAACCTGAGAGTAGGCCTAAGCATCACTGTGTGTGGTCCCCACGAAAAATTTATTTGCAGATGAAATGCATTATAAGATCCATAGCTAAATTACAGGAAAATATGTATAATGGTTAAAAGGATGGGAAGAGGAATGAATAGTCTGCCATTATATGAAGGGATATATTAATTTGCAATAATAATTTATATAATGTAATTTCTATAGTAGTACTGTAGTGTTCTCCTCCCATTGTTCATCGATTTGCTCAGGCAGGCACCAGTAATGTCTCACAACAAACTGTGAGACTTGTTGTTACTGTTTTTTTTTTGGCATATTGAATATGTCATGGGTAACTTGCCAGGCTTTGCTGTGCAGGCGAGACACTCTTGGTAGCTTGCCAGGCTCTCTGAGAGGAGCGGAGGAATCAAACCCAGATTGGCCACGTGCAAGGCAGACACCCTACCTGCTGTACTATCGCTCTAGTCCAATTTCTATAGTAGCAACATAAAATGATATAACCAAAGAGTAAAGTGGAGGAGAAATATTCAATCCAAAAGGAGAAAACGGAAAGAAAGGGTAAGAAAGGAAATGGCAAGATTATAGAGTTAAACTTGTATCATCAATTACATTAATTATAGATGAATCAGACACTCCAGCTAAAAGGAAGATTTTATTAGCATGGATAAAAAGCAAAGGTCCCACTATGAATATCACTCATTGGTAGAACACGTGCATTGTATGTGTAAGACTTTGAGTTTAGTTTATTTTGTTTTAATTTTTATTTTTTAATTTTTTTTGAGTCACTGTGAGATACAGAGTTACAAAGCAGATCATGGTCGGGTTTTAGTCATACAGTATTCCAACACCATCCCTCCACAACTGTACATTTCCCAGCCCCAGTGTCCCCAGTTTCCCCCCTGTCACCCTTCCCCAGGCCTGTCTCTATCATAGTCACTTTCCTTCTTTCTCTCAAGGCCTTGAGTTTAACCCTGGCATCACTCCAAACACAAAATTCAATAAAATATGATATACACCAAGCTATGAATTAATTTTCCTACAGGAAATCGAAATCACCTTCAAATATACAGATATTGGTAAATTTAAGGTAAGATGGGAAAATGTATACATTTAAACACAGATCATAGGAAAGGTAGAGTACTATCTTAATATTAGTTAAGGAAATAAGGGACAAAGGATATTGAAGGATTGAAGAGAAACATTTTTTTTGAAGAGGAACATTTTTAAATGGTAGATGTGACAGCTCTATGATAATTTAATGATAGCTTATCAAGAAGGCAAAAAATTTTCACAAATTCATGAAATAGAACCAAAAGAAATGAAGAAACAAATCCATAGAGATGGAGAATTCAATGATTGTTTATGGTAATCCATAAAGTATATTTTCAGGAAATCAGTAAGATATAGAATATTTTAATACTAATAATCTCCTTAGCCTTTAGTGTTTATAGAGCAGTTTGCCCAACAACTGTTTTAACAGTTTTCTCCTTAAATGCACATGGAGGGCCTGAGTGGTAGTTCAACAGGTAGCGTATTTGCCTTGCATGTGACAGACCCAGGTTTGATCCTTGGTACCCCTTAATGTTCCTCTAAGTCCACTACAAGTGATTTCTGGGCTCAGAGCCAGGAGTAAGCCCAAGCACTAGGAACCAAAACCAAAAAAAAGAAAAAATGTGCCTGGAACTTTTACTAGGATATGCTGCATGCTAGGCCATAAGAAAAGGACTCAGTAAATTTCAAATTGAAATCATATAGTGCATATGTTCTGAACACAACAAAATTTGGAAATCCACAGAAGCAAATCACAGAAATTCTCAAGTATTTCAAAGTCACTTCTACATGATTCAGAGGTCAAAATGAAAATAACAGGTTTGAAAATGTTTTGAATTAAATTGAAAATACATCATCAAAATTTGTCAGATTAAAGTAGTTTTTATAAGAGCTACATTGTCTTAAATACTTGTATTAGAAAAGGATAAGTGTTGAAAGCTAGAGGAGACAGCATTATCGAGCCTTTAAAATGAAACTGTTAAAGGAAAGCTATGAACAACTTAATGTGAACACATTTGACAACTCAATGAAACACACCAGTCTATTGAGAAATAAATTACACAACATAATGACAATGGAGGAAACAGAATTCCTTATTGACCCTGCATTTATTTAAAACTTCTGATTTTTTAATTTTTTTACTGCCAAGAAAAAACCCATGACTCCTTCAGTGGTGAATTCTGTCAAACATTTAAGAACAAAACAGTATTCTTCTTACACAAACGCAGAAGATAAAGGAAGAAATAATTTTTGATAGGTTATTTTAAGAAATTGGCAAACTGTCAAAATCAGGTAATGATTTTGAAAAGAAAATAGACACCTTGAGGCCCTTGTGAACCTAGAAATCAAAAATCTCAATATAAACTAGGTTATCAAATCTAGCAGTACTTTAAAATATTATATGTATCATAAATTTTATCCTAGGAATGTCAAGTTAGCTTAATATTCAAATTTCAGTCAATTAACTCTTCATTATCATCTTAATGAATGAAAAAAAGGTCATTTGGGTACATTCAGCACCTAATCACAATTTATAAAAATAAATTGGGTGGGGGGAGAGTTAGCTTAAAAAGATGGAGCAACATGCCTTACATGCTTAATGTCCTAAATTTAATCCTTGCACCACATGGTCCTCTAGCATTGCTTGTATAGCCTTGATAGTCCCCCAGACGTCCTGAATTGTTCCACTAAGCCCCTGCACTGTCTGCTATATACTGCCCAGGCCCCATGGTTTCCTGGGGAGTCAGACCCTTATTTTAAGAAGTCAACAACACAGAGCTGGAGAGGTAGCTCAAAGGATTGAACATATGCTTTGCTCCTACGCTTTGTATGGTCCCGAACATCACCAAAATAATGCTCAAGCACTTCTGGTTCTCCGAGAGTGGTACCAGAGGATTGCCTACTGT